ACGGTGATGTATTTTCAGAACGCAAGATACCGAAATAAATTACGTTTTACACCTGCATTTTGGGCTGAAGGTCATTCATCTTAGCAGTCAATATCAACTAGCGATATCATGTCACACTGTCACTTCTCTGGAGTCCAGAGCAAGCAGGATCATATGCAGGATAGGATGGAGAGCATGATCTGTCAGTAGCCTTTTTCTTCCTCACAAATATCGTAATTAATACGCCAGAATATGTTACATCTTCATCCCATAAGCATTGACGGTAGTGAGAATCGATGTTACAGCTATTACTGGCATATAGCCAGTAACCACTTTGGTATATAATTATAACCCACCCAAACTAGGCCTATCTGAAATATGAAAATGATCAATGAAATCACCAGGTAGCCTATTGTCGTGGCAAAAATGCGTCCCTAGCAGATTGCTAAGTACATATATATATCTATATGTAGCCTATTAAAATATGTATGAAAAACATATTTTTCCCATTCAATTTTAGCCTTGCAACCCCCCAAAACGTTCTCACTGCGCAAACTCATCTGACCTGTGTTGATTGACAGTTTGCTAGTCAAATCAGAGGGCCGAGTGTGCGTTTCACTAGCCAATCTGTTGTTTTGCAAGTGTGATACTGTCTCTAGTTGCATGGAAAGTAATCCAAGGAGAAGACCGTGCCACAAAATGAGTGACAAAACGTAGCAAAACCTGGCCAGATAATTTGAAGACATCAGTCTCAAGTCAAACTCGAGTCCAGAGTCTTGATGCTCCAAGTGAAGTCTTAAATTATCAAGCTCTGGATGGAGATATTGAAAATGAGGTTGAAAAGTGGTGGAATTGCCCTTTAAAATCAAGTGATCAGAGGGGTGTACTACAAAGCCAGATGAATGATTTAGCCAGCTAACTTGCCTAAATATTCTGAAATATATATCTATTTTTTAAGATAAGCTTGAAACAAGCATGGTCTGATTGACCCAACAATCAAAAACACATATTTTAGTTGAGCTTTCCTAATGAACCAGAAAATCTGTAGTTATTTCTGTTTGTTAATCAAAGATAGCTGGCTAACTCATTGATCCTGCTTTGTAGGCTAGTGTACCCCTCGGGATTTGATCGAAGTCAGAACCTTCCATTTAAGAACGTAAACATAATCAGCAACATGACTAAAAACGTATCATGTTAGTTCAGTACTTTTGGTCCAACAATGATTTGTGTTTTGTGTTAAAGACAATGACAGCGTAGCCCTTGCACACTCGTGTGGAAGGAAAAGGCATTGTATGAACTTGTGGGAAACGTTGAATCCTTTGGATGAGTCTCATCTCATCACTAGTTCAGCATATTTTCAGCAAATCCAACAGTTAATTTACTAGAGGCAATGAAACTAAGTAAGTACCTTTTTTTAAACAATGCCAAAAACAAAGGAGAATTTCGACCAGCAGATTGGTGCGACTATGGGACAAGATATAAGGAACTGTAGCTGCATGCAGCAGTATCAAAGCATAGGAATAGACCCGGGCCCCGTTTCCCGATAGCGATGGAATTTAGGCTTACGAGTGTTTTAACGATGCATCTTTCCTACAACGGCCGAAGATGTAACGTGCGTTTCCCAAAACAGCACGCAGAGAACAGTTGCTAGTGCGTCGTTGGAGCATGTGTCGATACGGATAGGATCGAAAGACGGCGTTGCTGATCAAATCTCAAATCAAATATTACCTTAACATTATAATTATTTCACAATACTGATCAGCTCCTATAGAGATTACCACCTACGGATGCAAATATTGAGGCGGTTTATTATAATGCCTTCACATTAAAAATGCACAAAATCACCGATTTGGCACATCATTGCGCACGTTAGGCTACACGTCATTAAATATATATTGAGACAAATTTCAGACAGTAGCCTACAAGTAGTAAAATAGAAGTCAATTTATTGAACATGAAATGTATTTAAATATGAATTAAATAGGCCTATAGCCTACTGTAGGATATTTATATTTAATGCAGTCATCTCGGTTTTCATTAGAAGCAATGTTTTTATACTTCACTTGTTTGTATCAATTGCAAAGACATTGGCAACGTTGTATTTGTAGTCAACTTTGTTCTGAAGTTCTCGGTGGTCATAGAGAGATGGATAAACCATGTGATTCTATATACACTACCGGTCAAATGTTTTAGAACACCTACTCATTCAAGGGTTTTCCTTTATTTTTTTTACTATTTTCTACATTGTAGAATAATAGTGAAGACATCAAAACTATGAAATAACACACATGGAATCATGTAGTAACCAAAAAAAGTGTTAAACAAATCAAAATATACACTGCTCAAGAAAATAAAGGGAACACTAAAATAACACATCCTAGATCTGAATGAATGAAATAATCTTATTAAATACTTTTTGAATGTGCTGACAACAAAATCACACAAAAATTATCAATGGAAATCAAATTTATCAACCCATGGAGGTCTGGATTTGGAGTCACCCTCAAAATTAAAGTGGAAAACCACACTACAGGCTGATCCAACTTTGATGTAATGTCCTTAAAACAAGTCAAAATGAGGCTCAGTAGTGTGTGTGGCCTCCACGTGCCTGTATGACCTCCCTACAAGGCCTGGGCATGCTCCTGATGAGGTGGCGGATGGTCTCCTGAGAGATCTCCTCCCAGACCTGGACTAAAGCATCCGCCAACTCCTGGACAGTCTGTGGTGCAACGTGGCGTTGGTGGATGGAGCGAGACATGATGTCCCAGATGTGCTCAATTGAATTCAGGTCTGGGGAACGGGCGGGCCAGTCCATAGCATCAATGCCTTCCTTTTGCAGGAACTGCTGACACACTCCAGCCACATGAGGTCTAGCATTGTCTTGCATTAGGAGGAACCCAGGGCCAACCGCACCAGCATATGGTCTCACAAGGGGTCTGAGGATCTAATCTCGGTACCTAATGGCAGTCAGGCTACCTCTGGTGAGCACATGGAGGGCTGTGCGGCCCCCCAAAGAAATGCCACCCCACACCATGACTGACCCACCGCCAAACCAGTCATGCTGGAGGATGTTGCAGGCAGCAGAACGTTCTCCACGGCGTCTCCAGACTGTCACATCTGTCACATGTGCTCAGTGTGAACCTGCTTTCATCTGTGAAGAGCACAGGGTGCCAGTGGCGAATTTGCCAATCTTGGTGTTCTCTGGCAAATGCCAAACGACCTGCACAGTGTTGGGCTGTAAGCACAACCCCCACCTGTGGACGTCGGGCCCTCATACCACCCTCATGGAGTCTGTTTCTGACCGTTTGAGCAGACACATGCACATTTGTGGCCTGCTGGAGTTCATTTTGCAGGGCTCTGGCGGTGCTCCTCCTGCTCCTCCTTGCACAAAGGCAGAGGTAGCGGTCCTGCTGCTGGGTTGTTGCCCTCCTACGGCCTCCTCCACGTCTCCTGATGTACTGGCCTGTCTCCTGGTAGCGCCTCCATGCTCTGGACACTACGCTGACAGACACAGCAAACCTTCTTGCCACAGCTCGCATTTATGTGCCATCCTGGATGAGCTGCACTACCTGAGCCACTTGTGTGGGTTGTAGACTCCGTCTCATGCTACCACTAGAGTGAAAGCACCGCCAGCATTCAAAAGTGACCAAAACATCAGCCAGGAAGCATAGGAACTAAGAAGTGGTCTGTGGTCACCACCTGCATAACCATTCCTTTATTGGGGGTGTCTTGCTAATTGCCTATAATATCCACCTGTTGTCTATTCCATTTGCACAACAGCATGTGAAATGTATTGTCAATCAGTGTTGCTTCGTAAGTGGACAGTTTGATTTCACAGAAGTGTGACTGACTTGGAGTTACATTGTGTTGTTTAAGTGTTCCCTTTATTTTTTTGAGCAGTATATTTTGTATTTCAGATTCTTCAAATAGCCACCCTTTGCCTTGATGACAGCTTTGCACACTCTTGGCATTCTCTCAACCAGCTTCATGAGGTGTGGGTGAACGGATGTGTATTTCCCACCGTAAATCATGGAGGGGGTGGTGTTATGGTGTGGGGGTGCTTTGCTGGTGACAGTCTGTGATTAATTTAGAATTCAAGGCTCACTTAACCAGCATGGCTACCACAGCATTCTGCAGCGATACACCGTCCCATCTGGTTTGGGCTTAGTGGGACTATCATTTGTTTTTCAACAGGACAATGACCCAACACACCTCCAGGCTGTGTAAGGGCTATTTTACCAAGAAGAAGAGTGATGGAGTGCTGCATCAGATGAACTGGACTCCACAATCCCCCGACCTCAACCAAATTGAGATGGTTTGGGATGAGTCGGACCGCAGACGGAAGGAAAAGCATTCCAGGTGAAGCTGGTTGAGAGAATGCCAAGAGTGTGCAAAGCTGTCAACAAGGCAAAGGGTGGCTATTTGAATAATCTAAAATATAAAATATATTTTGATTTGTTTAACACTTTTTTGGTTACTACATTATTCCATGTGTTATTTCATAGTTTCGATGTCTTCACTATTATTCTACAATGTAGAAAATAGTAAAAATAAAGAAAAACCATTGAATGAGGAGGTGTGTCCAAACTTTTGACCAGTAGTGTATATAGTGTATAAAGTGACACGGGAGGGCAAAAAAGCATCTTAAGATGCACTTAGTTGTTCTATGAGTGGTCTGGGAGGCGTTAGATTACATGCGTTTTCAAGTGCAACGTTAATAACGATGGTTTTGTGGAACAGCTCTCAGATATAACGATGCTCCTACGAAAGTTCTAACGGTTCATTTAGCCTTAAAACGCTTTTGGGAAACCAGGCCCTGGACAGGAAGTTGATTTGCTGTAATCACACGTTCACTCTTAATACAGTGTGACAAGACAAACAAGGAGTCCATTGCTGAGTACCTTCATAAAACATGTATTGATAGAATGAACATAGGAAGAATATCCTATAACCCCTAACATAAAATCAAAGGGTTGTGTTTGTATATGGTTATTAAAACACGACAACCATTTTTTAAATTCAGGACTACTGCAAATATCAACGACAGACTTTCCCCCTCAATCAGCCTTACTAGCTAAAAGGTTAGGATGAAAATGATAACGTGAGGTAGTAACTAGGAAATGTGGTTAAGGACTGATCTTTTTGTACTGAAACAATGCCATATCAGTGTGTGTCTCATTCAAACAAATCATGTTACATGATAAATAAAGTGTACCTTTTGGTGAAAAGACAACAGTGTGTCTAAAAATCCTATTCCAGCAACATAACATTAAATAATATGCCTTGATGGCCATTGGCTGAATGTCAAATTTGGCAACTCTTTATTTAACCTTTCAACATCAAGTTGTTAGCTCATGGTTTGGATGGCATCCAGATGTACAGACATTCTTCCACATAGTTTTTAACTCACGATTAAAGTTGTTCTAAAGGACACAAAATAAATAGTAAAACATCTGAAGATGTTGTTCTCTGTTCTTCATTGTAAGATTTCACCCCCAGAATTTTCTTTTTAAATTGAGATTGATAAAACATGCCAACAATATCAGTTCAAATCATCTAAACATACGAACTCATCATTAGAACTGTAATCCATCATTTTTTGGTATGCTCTCTTCACAAGCATTCTTTCAGAAAAATACTGGCCCTGAGTATTTTACTTCTGTATGGAGTAAGGTAATGTACCTATATCAACTTGGAATCGCTCTCTGCTAGCCAGTCAACCATTAGAAATGACTGATATGTTTTGGCATAGTAAATGCCTGATCAATGATGGTGAGAAATGATATTGGCTAAATCCATGTGTAGTTTGTATAGTGAGGGTGACATAAATTGCATACAAATGAAGCACACATGGAGGCATTGCACATATCAGTCCTCTTCATCACTCAAGAAGGCATCATCTTCATCAATATCCACACCCTGGAACAGCCTAGAAAACACCAAAGAAACACCAAAGAAAAATGTCATTTTTTCTCATTATGAAGTCAATAAAAGTTTAGACAAACATTCTATGAGCATAATCCTGATTTATCGTACACCTAAATGGACACACAGAGCCAATCGTCAATGACGCCTTCCAAAAAAGGAAGGAGGACAATAACAAAGCTACTCACTGGTTGTAGCAAGGCGAGGAGGGGTTGTTGAAGTGGCTGTAGGGATTGACATGTGTGAGCTGGCCCAGACACAGCCAGCAGAAGTACTGCTTACACGAGGTGCAGGTCATCTTGTTGCAGCCATCTACCTTCTACACAGAGAAAACAGAGAAGATGATCAAACAAATGATCCTATAGATAGAGATCATAGGGGTTAAAACAACCAATAAATCCCATGACTGAAACTTAAGTCGATCTCAGATTGATTGTCTGGGGCCAAGTTAACCTCACCTTTCATGTTAGAAAGTCATGACCATCATAGTTTTAGGGAAAGAGGATCATTTTGTATGTGTATTAAACTGTGAGTTTGACCAATTCGATTCCCCTTGCTTAAGGGGTCCGTGGTCCTCCTCGAGATCATGTTTATGTAGAAGGACTGAGAAGCTCAGTTCTGGTGACTTTTTAAAAAGGTCATTCTACTCCAAAATGTATTCAAATAAAATGATGCTGATACCATCTAAAACATAATTTCCACATCCAGAAATTAGCCCAATAACAATGTAAAAAGTATTTTAACATATTGAACCATGCATATAGCTTATGCATGTTCTATATGATCAGATGCGCTATTAGCAATAAGAAGGAATACCTGTGGCCCAAATGATGAAGCATAGTGGCTATAAAATCTACTAGTGATGGCCCCCGGTTATTTCCGCGGGGCAGACAGGTTTAGGGCCATGAAATATTGTGTGGATGAAGGGCGGGTGGGTGGCAAGCGAGTTGAATATAGAGAAAACAATACCTTTAAAAAATCTATTTGTGTATAATTCTTGTTAAATTGATATCTGTTGCTACATTGAGGTTTTTCTTTCAGTATTTTAGGCCGTCTGGCTTTAGGGCCTGACTGTACGGACAACAAATAGCCTACACGCCAATCGCTTTTGGGAATGGGCAGAAAAAGTTAATGTCGATCCACAGAGGCAAAAAGGAAAATGTCTGAGTTTAAATAAAAGGACAATGTCAGAGTTTCAAATAAAGAGGAGGGCCAGAAAAGTCATGTTTGGGAAGATTTGGTGAAGTGGTAAAAGAGGATGATAGCAGTGCTGGTGATGTTACAGTACGTGTGATGATTGTGAGGCGCTATACAAAATTCGACATTCACAAGATGGGGATTCAAACAGGCCTATGGCACGTCAAGGGAACTGTAGCCTACTACTGTTCAGATGGGTTAAATGGAAACTGAAATCTGGACACTGACTGTAGGCTATAGGTCTATAACCTCTCACATAGCCTTAATATTAACTCCTGCAGAATTAAGTATTTATTGCAGTAAAATGATACACCAAATGTAGGCTACATTTTGACTTGGGAACAGGAGTGGAGAAATATGATTTACTGTATTTCGTAGAACAGACATGCTTCTGTCTGTATTAGGCTCTACCACCTCCACGATCTCAGAGATTTTTATTGCGGATCTACACTGATCAGTATGAAAAAATGTATGCACTCACTAACTGTAAGTCACTCTGGATAAGAGCGTCTGCTAAATGACTAAAATGTAAAATCTCAAAAATGACCTCTCCAGAATCGATATGACGGAAATCTGTCACAATGACAGAGAACTTTAACCCCTGGGATCAGGTCAAAAAGGGGGTGTTTGTATTTGTCCTGTTTCACACATGTACAAGTGTGTAACCTGTACAGTGTGGTGTGAAATGGACACTCCCCTGGAGATCCTCAGAGAGTGGGGTCATGGCATGGGATCAGCCATTATTGACGGCAACCCGGGAGAAATTAGGTTTAAGTGACTTGCTCAAAGGCAAATCAACATTTGTTTTTTTTTTACCGGGGATTCAAACTAGCAACATTTCGGTTACTGGCCGAACGGTCTAACCGCTAGGCTAACTGCAACCTCATGTAGGAGCAGCAAAACACATCCAAACTAAAGAATACAGGCTTGTTGTGCAGAGAGCAACATACCTGTATGTTAGTGCCACAGCGCGGGCAGCCTTTACAGTTCTCATTGAGCCAGTCCCTGCTGAAGGACTCCTCCACAGCACGCTGGATAACCCGCTTTCCAAAACGCTGCTCCATGAACTTCTTCCCCTCGGCACTGGCAGAGATATATTCATCCCGCAGGCCTCGCAGCTCATCTACATGGCAGAAGAGAGGCCCCTCTTAATACCAAAACCATTATTCTAACCTCCATTTGATTGATCATCTTTAGTGCATAGACTGTGCACAGCATATAACTCATTAATTGTCAGGTAATATAATATAGACTACGTAATACAATTATTTCCTTTACCTGCTGTGACTTTGCAGTGCGACAGGCCGTGGTATCCCCGTTTGCAGAGGGTGCAGAAGGCGTACTGACAGGCAGGGCAGATGCCCATGGTGGTGTCTGGCTCCACCATCACAGCCTGACAGCATGACTGGCGAGGGCAGTACACCACGTCAGCCATCAGGTCCAGGCTGGACTGAAGCAGGAGGCGGTCATAACGAGTAAACAACTCCTCCCCGACAAGGAGCTTGACCTGTACAAGGGGCAGTGTATTAGTCAGTGCTCATAAGAGTGCCATAAGAGCAAATTATTCTCATAAGAGCTAATTTAAGAGTTGAGTCAAAAGTTACCTGTGAGGGCGTAGCCAAGGAGGTGCACTTGGGCTCGGGGCAGTTAAGGCACTGAACATTGCCGTCGCGGATCTGAATCCCGAAGTACTCTGTCATGCAGGCCTTGCAGTACACGTGCTGGCATTCCTTGAAGCACAGGCAGCTCGAGCCCAGCTTCTCCATGAAGCAGATGCTACAGCAGAACGCCTTGGCGTCAAACACCTTCTGCCTCTGAGCTTCGTCAAAGTCCAGGAGCTGAGGTAGGATATCAGTACGGGGGTCCACCACCAGCACAGCACGGGGGTCCAGCTCCTGCAGGGGCTCCAGTTTGCCTTTCTCCCCGGTTATACTCCCCGCCCGCTTCACGCCAGCCTCGTTTCTCTTCCGCTCCACCGGAGCCTTGCCCGCCTTAACAACCTCTAGTGGAGACTTGACATCCAGGAAGGCAAACGCCTCCTCCTTGAGGAACTGGATCCATTTGTAGAGGACAACGCAGCCCTGGTTCTCCCCCCACAGCTCATCCAGACGCTTGCAGAGAGAAGTCATCTGAGGGGGTAGAAATAAGGGTTGGTCAGGAAGACAAGGGGAATGTTGTTGAAAGATGTTATTTTATTTCTTATGTTGATGCATCTGCCTCACCTGGTCCCTTGACAGCCATTTGGAACTTAGTGTATAGACCGGAGATGAGGAAGAAGGGTAGTCGGCAGGAAGTTCGAAGTTAAGCACCAGAGGAGGTAGGAAAGATACGTCATATTCTGTCTGCTTGTCTCCTGAAGAAACAAACACATTCAATTTTTCAGGTTTTAATGTTGATTAACAGTTATTTTATTTTTAAAAAAGGGACAATGTAGGATTAATGCAGAGGAAAGGAAACACAGCCTTACCTTTGACTATCAACTTGAAACTTGGAGGAAGTTCAAGGCATAGTTGTATTTCTCCGCCTTGTGCCGATTCAGCTCTGTGAAACTCCTCTTCGTCGTAAATACTTGCTAGAACAAGCAGCTCATCCTTCTGCGCTGCCTGGTCCTCAGACATTTACATTCCTGTGAGGCAACAACAACAGTAAGACTAAACCCATAACAGCGGCCATACTCTGGACCTGATTATTACCAAGGGGCTTTCTATTGACATATCCTCAATTGTAGATGTTTCTTTATCTGATCACCACTGTGTCTTTTGTACTACCTTGTTGGGTCATTGTCCTGTTGAAAAACAAATGATAGTCCCACTAAGCCCAAACCAGATGGGATGGCGTATCGCTGCAGAATGCTGTGGTAGCCATGCTGGTTAAGTGTGCCTTGAATTCTAAATAAATCACAGTGCCACTAGCAAAGCACCCCCACACCATAACACCTCCTCCTCCATGCTTCATGGTGGGAAATACACATGGGGAGATCATCCGTTCACCCACACTGCATCTCACAAAGACAAGGCGGTTGGAACCCAAAATCTCCAATTTGGACTCCAGACCAAAGGACAAATTTCCACCGGTCTAATGTCCATTGCTCGTGTTTCTTGGCACAAGCAAGTCTCTTCTTCTTATTGGTGTCCTTTAGTAGTGGTTTCTTTGCAGCAATTCGACCATGAAGGCCTGATTCACACAGTCCCCTCTGAACAGTTGATGTTGAGATGTGTCTGTTACTTGAACTCTGTGAAGCATTCATTTGGGCTGCAATTTCTGAGGTGCAGTTAACTCTAATGAACTTATCCTCTGCAGCAGAGGTATCTATGGGTCTTCCATTCCTGTGGTGGTCCTCATGAGAGCCATTTTCATTATAGCGCTTGATGGGTTTTGCGACTGCACTTGAAGAAACTTTCAAAGTTCTTGAAATGTTCCGTATTGACTGACCTTCATGTCTTAAAGCAATGATGGACTGTAGTTTCTCTTTGCTTATTTGAGCTGTTCTTAACATAATATGGACTTGGTATTTTACCAAATAGGGCTATAATAATAATAAATAATATGCCATTTAGCAGACGCTTTTATCCAAAGCGACTTCCAGTCATGCGTGCATACATTTTTGTGTATGGGTGGTCCCGGGGATCGAACCCACTACCTTGGCGTTACAAGCGCCGTGCTCTACCAGCTGAGCTACAGAGGACCACAATCTTCTGTATATCCCCCTACCTTGTCACAACACACCTGACTGACTCAAACGCATTAAGAACGAAATAAAAACCACAAATTAACTGTTAATTGAAATGCATTCCAGGTGACTACCTCATGAAGCTGGTTGAGAGAATGCCAAGAGTGTGCAATGCTGTCATCAAGGCAAAGGGTGGCTATTTGAAGAATCTCAAATATATTTTGAGTTGTTTAACACTTTTATGGTTACTACATCATTCCATATGTGTTATTTCATAGTTTTGATGTCTTCACTATTATTCTACAATGTAAAAAACTGTAAAAAATAAAGAAACACCCTTGAATGAGTAAGTGTGTCCAAACTTTTGACTGGTAGAGTATATATATATTTTACAAACAAACCATGTATTTGATACCATTCCATTGATTCCGCTCCTGCCATTACCCTGAGCCTGTCCTCCACAATTAAGGTGCCACCAACCTCCTGTGGATGACTGGGACATCAGGCTGCAGCCACATATTAATGTAACTTTTTATGAAACTGGTTGTCAGGCACAGAGGCTGCGTTTAGACAGGCAGCCCAATTCTGATATTTTTTTCATGAATTGGTCTTTTGACAAATCAGATCTGAAAAATATCTGATGTGATTTGTCAAAAGACCAATTAGTGGAAAAAAGATCAGAATTGGGCTGCCTGTCTAAACCTGACTATCACAGCCAGTGTAACGTTATAGAAAACAAAAACCAGCAGACATGGCCCTCCATGGACTGAGTTAGACAACCCCTGTTATTTGTTTATTTGAATCAGCTGTGTAGTGTTAGGGCAAAAACCAAACCCGTGCACCCCTTGGGGTCCCCAGGACCGAGTTTGGCTAACAGAAACGTTACCTGACTAACTAGTATGGAAGCTAGCAAGCTACACGATTTCAACTACAACTATGCTCGAAAGTGGCTATGTAACAACCCTAGGCCACAACACGATCTCAAGGGCTAACTTTAGCTGGCTAAGTGCCTTGACAGCCTTATTGATAGTAAGTTAGCTAACTACAATAACGTTAACATACTAGGTAGCTACCGTTAGCTAGCTAGTTGGGCTAGAAACGTTGGCCTACACACCTTCAATTGTTAGCTCGCTATCATGAGTAATCAGTCACCTGATGTAGATTACAAGCATTTTCTTAGATCATGGTAATGTATAATGTAGCTATGTGTTATTTACCTTATATTCCAGCCCCACTAATGACGACTTTTGGATAATGACAGACTTCTGTCGCTTTCCAGACAACGCGCAAACTCCGGACTGGAAACTCGTAGGAAGATGATGCCGCGTTCACGACAACTCGGAAATTTCCGACCTTGAAACAAACTCGTTGGTATGCGTATTGGAGCATCCTTGGATCTGGCAGATAATGGCTGGAATGGTGGAGTGAATGGGATCAAACACACGGACACCATGCATGTGTTTGATACCATTCCATTTATGCCATTACTGTGAGCCCATCCTCCCCAATTTGGGTGCCACCAGCTGTCTGATTCTCAGGATGGCAGTGCAGAGTGACCATGTTGTGGAGTGCAGCCAAAACCCTAGGGTCAATTTTGACCCCAAGCAGTCAAACATGCCCCCCCCCCCCCCCCCACCAGATTTGGCCACTGGGGGGCGTCGTAGCCACTATAACTCAAAGATGTAAATACATATTTAGCTCCCAGTCAATGTCTCTATACTGAGTTGAGTCTCATCTTTCAGATGCAATTGGAACCGAGTTGATATAGCCCAATCTTCCGGAAGTTGGCCGGCTCCTGAAAAATTCTGCAGGGGGGCAATTTTTTGATGATTTAGGTGACCTACCCAATTTTAAAAAAGATATGTCCAGCAACAAAATGAAGACAGGGGCCAGCATATAAGTCAATACCAGAAGCATTATGACTGATTCTGGGGAGAGGATTCCAGTTTCTGTGGACAGATTATATAATCTCTGATGCCTTTGTTATATTAGCTTTGGTTGATAGGTATGTCGTAGTAAAGATATAATGATAGCTGGCTGACTAAAAATCTTGTGCATGACCCATTTTGTGTTGGGCGTTTGTTTTCAATCAATGCTGTTCCTATCCTATAACAATGGACAAAAGAGTCCTATCTTGTCAGCCTTGTCAGCAGGTGGCCAAGGACAACACCCACGCCATAGGTCTCTCAGTTCTTCCAACTCACGAGTTCTTGCTCTGAGGACACACACACACACACACACACACACACACACACACACACACACACACATCATCACTGATAACACACACACACACACACACACAAAAATCCCCTCTCTTTAGGCTGAACATTTGAAGACAGAGAACCCGACTCAGAGCCAATGCAACAGTGGAGGGGACCTCGCCCAACTCATCAGGACCAATCAGAAGATCAGAACTACTAGATTCAACCTACATCATTTATTGTATAAAATGTCTGCACACAATGTTTTCGGGGCTCTCTTCAGATAGCTCCCTAAGAGTTTGACGAACGAGTCCGTGCACGCGATTCCAGATATCTTTACCTCTGAATAAACTGCCTTTATTATACCATATCCACCCTGTCCAAAGTCTCTACTTGGTCTCAGTTCTCCAGTAAACTTGTGATTATCAACAGTACACAACGGTAACAAACAATTGGGGGAACTCACGGGGCCGATAGTAAGGTCGCAGTGACACAGAAAGCAGTTCAATGTCGGGGGTACAGAGTCGCTCTCTTACCAGGATCGATTTTCCCTGTGACTGTCAGATCGCGGTCCGCTCTGACCAGGGTGAAGCCGGCCGGCTCCACTTCTCTGTCCGGGACTCTGTCATCCAGCCAAGTCTCCCAGCTGTATTGGATTCCGCTGCCAGCAGCGTTTTCATTATTTAGTCCGTTCGTAGCGGGTATGTACACGATCAACAAGATCAGTCCAAAACCCACCACTGGAAATCCATGGTTGGCAGAATGTTTGTAAACTAAGTGTACAAATTAAAAACATAAAATAACGCCACTAAGTGTACAAATTAAAAACATAAGATAACGCCACACTGCAGGTCGCAACAGAGACGCTGCTAGCCGCTATTTTCGTTAGTTACGTTCATGGTTAGTCACGTATGACGAAAGCGCGTAAGTGCAAGCCCACAGACACCCATAGAGATTGGTATTGAAAGCTTTGAAATTTGAAAAAAATAGATTTTACCATGGGAGTCTATGACAGACTTTCTGGGCGATTTTCAACATGACTGAAATCGCCCCAAAAACGGGCGGGGCCATTTGAAGCACGACTTTAGCCTGATTTGACATTTAGTGGCAGTCAGATCAGATTAGAACACTGATAACTACGGTTGCACGTGAGTATAATTGATTAGAAAAAAAATCCCTTCCTTTTCCCGTTTGGCAGTGCGTCGCCCATATCGCCCTATTGAACACACCGCCCCTGGCTAAAAGTATTTCACCGGCACCCATATCGGTGGCCATTTTAGGTCGTACTGCTATATCAGATTAGCTCAATCGCCAATTTCTCAGCCTCTGAGTATCACACAAACAACACTTTGAATGAATAACAGACCAATGTTCATAAGTGGCCAGGATGAAATTGATCAAAACATCTGTTCAAAACATAAACAATATACAAAAACGTCTATTTACATCAAATTTCACTATAAATGTGAACATGAAAAAATATGCTCATTTTGGGGATTTTAAACCAATTAATTGTTACAAAAGGTTAATAAAATAGTGTTACTGCTTGAAAGAGTCTCTTTGCAATCAGCAAAAAATATGTTGGCGCTTTAAGGGTTAACCAGAATAGCACTGAGGTGTTGCTGTAGGTCATGGTGGTTGGAACAGAGAAAAAAAGAAACCCAGCTAGTGGGGATGATGGCTCACTTTCTCTGCACACACCTGTGGGTTTTATGTACTAAGCCGAGGGGGTGATCCAAAAATAATGGCTATTAAGTGGCCTATTTCTTCCTCAAAACCACCACTGGCCATAGAAGGGATTTGTCCATTTGAGATTTAAAGCAGTAGAACATCTAAACATTTCATTTTGTGTTTATACCACCTTTGTGAATTTGACAGCATTAAATAGTTTTTCTTCCAAATCATGGTAATTCAAGTGTGACAAAACATGCAATGTATGATCCTTTTCTTTTTGCTGAATTCAAGGTGTTCCACTCCAGGTCCCTTAGAGGAGTATTCTCTCATCCGAATCAACATGCATTTTCAAATAACCTTTCAATAACTCTTTCACATAATTCTCATAGACACCTAAATTTATTTATTTTGCTTTTGGTGAGTGGTAACAGCACCAAATTGGTACTCACCATTCATTCGCACGGTTGTACAGAGTAGAAAAACAAAACTATACCAGAGAACAACCCACAGACCATTGCTTTTAAATGAGACAGCCTTACATTGAAATACTGCATGACAGTAACTCAAATCTAATTAAACATATAGTAGACAGATAATTGGTGCCTCTATCACATCTCTGAATACACTAACCTTTATTCCATCAAATTTCTCTCTCTCTGTCCTCTACATTTATCCAATTCAGAATAACCATACATTTCAAGCTTGAACCCCTTCCCCATTCAAACATAAGTTAACATTTTCCCCTAAACTTTTGTACTCATTTTTTCACTGCTTACCACCACCACTTTAATATTTCAATCTCAGCGGAAATAGGCTAAAGAGATGCTGAGAACATTCCTTACTAAATGGCCATTGAAGCGATAAACAGAAAGCAAGTTTCTATCCTGCGGCTCTCACAATATTTTATGTCAAAACAGCTTGATCAATATGCATTCATTGTATTCAACAGCAAAAAATAGTGGAACATGCCAAGAAGGCTGATTTGACAGTATTTATAGGAATAGTTTGACTGTATCATCAAAAGAGAGGCTATCATCAGTAAGATCTCAAGAGAGGTGAGAGGCGGGCGGGGAGAGAAGGATTGGGGGCAGCTATAGCAGTTAGTCAATGTCCATCTCAGGCAGCTTGTTGCCCTCTGCAGATTCAGGAGCCGCCGTGCTCCCTGCTGCACCCTTCTCTGGGCAGCTTGGCTGGGCATCGGAGCCCTCCTGTCCATTTACAGGTCCATTCTGTTCTTCCTTCTCATCATTGGGGATCTCCACTTTGGGCTTGGGTTTTGAGACGATAGGGTTGCAAGCTGAGTAAAGCTCCTACACAGAGGGAAAGAGGATGTTAAAAGTAACTAACCAGTGTTTCCAGATTTCAATTAAATATGCCCTATAATGAATTACAATACGAGTTAAATCGTTTTCCTTCCAAAACATGGTAATGAAAGTTTGTGACAAAACATGCAGTGTAGCGAATCATTGTACCATCTAAACCGCTGTGAATTTTTTTTTCAATAACCCCAAATATTGTATTTTCAGCTGGTGTACAAAACCGAAAGAAGCAAACACGAAAATTAAGAACGGGAAGCATAGAAATAGGACACATAGACAGATCTACCACTTCTTAGACTTACTTTCAATGAGAATGACAAAGCTATAACTAAAGTTAGATATTGCAGCTTTAAGTATGTTAAAAAGCAGCTTTGTGTTGGAATGGTGTGGGGGCCTACCCCAACAACAGAATGATGTGGGCGTATACCGGTCATTGAAAATATTCACGTGAGTAGACTGCTGATTGGCCAGCTCATCATCCTCTGAGGAAATAGTACGCCTTTTTGAAACTGTCTGTTTGAGATACAAGTTTGAGGTGGGGTTTTTGAAGGGTTTCTTTCTCCAATTTTTTAATACGAGTATAGGATTAGTCCACAACATTATTTGGGTACGAGTTAACAGAATATTAACTTTAAAAAGTGGGATTTGGGACATTCTGACCTTTGGATGACCATATGCCATATTAGGACCTGGACCAGGCAAAACTGAGTCCTTGACAGACTATACAAACCTATTGTCAGCACTAACCTTTGTTTTTGCCTGAATCTCCTGGACTTTGATGGCAGGCTCCTGGGTAAAATTCTGTTTGCTCTGCGCATTCATTTTGCTGTTCATCCAAATCATGGCGTCGTTCACCTGCTTATCCACCTTCAACATCTCCAACTCGTCCAAATGCTCATACTGCTCCTCCTGGGTGTCAAGACAGACATAAGGAACGTTTCAATGCTGGGAGACATTGAGATATCATTACATGTCCAGTGACTCAATGTTGATAAAACTATATGTGCACAACTATGCAATAACAATATCTTAGAAGTTACCTTTGTTTTGTAAGCTTCTACAATCTTCATGTACTGTTGGATATGCTTTCCGAGTTCATCGAATGCTTTTGGTCTCTCCTCAGCCTCGATGTATCTTTCCTGGATGGGCTGCCCAAGTTTCTGTAGAAGGGACATTTAGTTCAGTCACCTAACAAAATCCATCCTAGGCTAGAATCAGAGACAGGAATTGACTGGCAATGTTACCTTTAATTCAGCCAGTTTGTCGATGTACACTTGTTTCTGTTGGTCCTCGCCGTCATCATACAACCAGTTCTCTGTGTCCTCAAGTCTTAACGAAAAGGTGTCTCGGTCCTGCATTTAGTAAAAACAAACTTGTAGTAACTCCACATCATTTGTTTTTAATACATGTAAGGTTATATAATACACTGAGAATAATACAAATAAATGTGACCTAGCCTTGCTGTTAGCTAGTGCTTTTCTACTCTGCCAGCTTGAGGGAATATACTCACAGATTCACTGACGAACTTCTCCAACACTCCATGCAGTTTGTCCCTCATCTCATAGACGTACTCCTCCACATTGTTCTTGGCATCGTTTCGCTCCTTCTCCAGCTTGTCCTGCATAATCATCTTACCCTGAGGTGGAAACATCAAATATAAAATGTGTGTACTCACTACTGTAAGTCGCTCTGGATAAGAGCGTCTGCTAAATGACTATAATTTATACATTTAAATAAAAACAATTTGTTACTTTCCTTCCCACCACAGCTCTCAGTAGACACAGATCAACATGCTCAAGCAACCCATTAAATTCTTTATACTGTACAATAGTGGTATGAGATACAGGGTTACGTGTTAAGATTATGCTTGTAAAACAATGACAATTATACACAGTTTATATCAATACAGGACAGGTTTTCAGCTAATGAGAACAAGAGTCAGAAGAATATCCAGTCTCAGTGATGCTAAGCCAATCAGATCATACTTGGAAAAAGTAATTAATGTTGATACTAGTTATGGTGTCCTACAACATTACCTCATTCTCCATGAACAGATTGACCAGGTCATTGGTTAGTTGCCAGTGCAAGCTGTTTTCGATTGGGAGTTCGACAGTCTTCGTTTTCACTTTGGGTTTCTTTGCCGATGGAGCGTGATTCTTCTCCTGTTTTCCATCCTCCGATGTCTGAGATTAAAAAAAAAAAAAAAATACAAAAGGTTTTAGGTAAATGTGCACTGGTCCCATACCTAGATCATGAACACATACAAAAACATCCCCTCAGAATGATCAATATGTAGTCAGTCAGTCACCTCCATTTCCTCAGACTCTGACTTCTTGTCAGCATTGTCTTTCTGCCCATCACCTTGGGCTTTCTGGTCATCTTGTTCAGTCTGCATCTTACTCTGATGAGACAAGAAACATTTTGTTAGCTCTCCATTCATGTGGAGTTAACACCAAACGTTAGCTTGACGTCACAATGCACAGATGGTCAGATAACACATTGGAGAAAGTCACCATTGTGAAAGAAAAGAAAAACAAGCAGGCAAAGGAAAATACAATAATCTCTTTCCTGAAGCAGGTTTAACTTGTTGAGACGACAGCTGAATGAATTGCCCTTTTACTGAATATGTCTGGGTTGATTCATTGTCCAATAAACTGGGTGTGGGTAGAGTATAGGCATTATAGCCCATGTAGCCTTGGCTTCCAGGCCTCCCTCACGTTGTTCTCCAGAGCTTGGGCAAGTTCATATTGGAAAAGTGGGTATGAGTGGAGCGCTGATTGCCAGCGGCTGCTGACTGATTGGCTGTGAGTAGATGTTGATTACTCAAAAACAACCACCCCTTCCATCCCTCTTCAGAAGTGCTAATTATCCAGAGTAAGCTAATTTATGGTGCTAGCATACTACATTTTTAAAAAATTGATATTTTGTAAAAAAAAAAAGTATTACATTTTTTATATAATTTGGTTGAAATGACACTACCCCACATGGGCAACAGAAAATTATTGGCTTTTGGTTTCGAATTGATGCCTGTTTGAAAGTGCCTATTCCAATTGTTGGGAGGGGCAAACAACTTCGATACCCTCCACCTTCTTTTGGCCTCTTTCTGACAGGAACTTCCACAGGCTTTCATACCGGTGAGGTGAAAGCCTGGTAGAGGCTATAGCCTATGTAAGCGCTGTACGAAAACAGTGCACACAAACCTCCTCTTCCTTCCCGGCTGGGTCCGTCTCCATGGGCTCCTCTCCCTCATTAGGTTTCAGGAGCTCCACTAGAGAGGCACTGGACACGCTGAAGACCCCGTGGACATTCACCCTGACCTTCACCTTGACCTTTGAACTCTCACCATTTGCCTGGGGAACCACTTTCTGGACCATGAACTGACCTGACGAGTTCACAAGTGGAGTATTAGAAGACACTCAGTAACCTGGCCTCAGAGACAACCATTAAAAGTACAAAATTAACTGAATAGGTACAAGCCTATAGCTTATTAGAGGCATTTAGAGTTTCTGGGCTGTTTGTTCTGGTACCTATTGTGGGGTCCGGGTACGGCAGCTCTTTGGGGTTGCTGTAGTATGCCTCCAAGGAGAAGGGCTCTCTCCGGTAGAATGTCAACACTTTGGAGAAGGGTGCTGCATGGTTCCTTGGGAATACCTCGCAATCACTGACGGAGGAGAGTAGACCAGAAGATGACGTGAGTCACTGCCAATCAGAGTTCAGCGCAATCAGTGTTAAATAAGCCCATGTCAAATGTGAAGAAGAGATCATTACCTTAACCCCTCCTCTGCAGCAGAGTTCCACTTCAAGGAGATGGGATAGTGGACGACATCCGTGATGGAAAACTCTCTGACTTTGAAGGCAGGGGACAGGATTGCACACTAAGGAGATAAACCACCTGCATTATAACATGTTCGCTAAGTGTTTAACAACTGTATACAGTACTTGATGGTATGTCAACAGTCAAAGTTATTTACTGCAAATAGTTTGTGCTATGCCAGTAAACATCAGGTCGACAACTACTGCAATATCGACAAGTTCCATGAGTGCGAGACATGGCTAAAAAACGGCAAGCCCATTTGCTGAAGAGGTCATTGGGGACAGTGAGTCATGACACGATACCTGCAGTGCACATCCTCTTGCGACAGCCTCGTCTGCGTTTAAAGTCGTGCTCAGCTCTTTTCCAAAGAATTTGCTGACTCTTTCTTTGACGGCAGGGATCCTGGAGGCACCGCCCACGATTTCCACTGCGTAGATGTCTTCCTTCTTCAGCTCTGGACAATGCATGAAGCACATTGGTAGTCAGATTTAACAGCCAATCTAGGTCTTAGCAAGAACATGAACAGGCTGTGCATGCACACGTGGCTCAGGGATACTCCAGCTACTATTACGACAGCTACTCACTGGCTTGTTCCATGACGCTGTGCAGGGGAGCCTCCACTTTGGCCAGAAGCCCTGCACACATCTCCTCAAAGTGGCCTCTGGATCAACAGTGGTCATGGGATATTAATAGATACCGTACACACATCCAGCTGCTTGCATCATGATGATACACATGCACCGAATGAAAACACTTCCTGACACATGGCTTTTCCACTGCGGATGGCCAAATCTGTAATACAGAGGTACTGAGATGAATGAGAGCACTTGTTTTACGCTCCACTAACCTGTTGAGTTTCCCAGTCACGTCGATGTCATTCATGAAGCACTCGATGTTGAGTGGCAGATCAGAGGAGTTGGCGCTCATCAGCTTCTTGAGCTTCTCACACTCCTGGTAGAGACGAACCAGGGCTCTGGGCTTGGTCTTCACATCCAGCTTGTACTTCTTGCCAAACTCCTCACAGAAATGGTTCACCAACACCTCGTCAAAGTCTTTGCCACCCAATTCTGCGTCAAACGCAGAAGCTAGCATCTGAAAGGGAAATAACAAACATTAACTTTAAAAAATAAAAAATAAAATAATGTAAAGTCGTCTTCGAACATATCAAAAACTTACCTTGAGCTTTCCTTTGTTGAATGCACAGACAGAGACCTGATAACCAGAGTGGCCCAAATCTACAAACACCACATTTCTTGGCTTTTCCTCAGGGGCAGGGAGATCCTGTTTATAAATCCCATATGCCAGTGTAACTGGAATAGACAGAGAAATGGGTTCAGACCATGATTACATGGGATAACATTGTTCAGTGTTGGCATGGTAATGGCATTACCTGCAGTGGTTTCATTCATGAGTCGTAGGCAATTGAGCCCTGCAATCTGAGCTGCATCTATGACAGACCTCCTCTCTGCGTCAGTGTAGAAGCTGGGGACCTGGAGGACATTAGGAGAAATTATGACCGTTGACAAAAACACCATCCTTGACTGCTTATATTGTATGTGTGTGTGTGTCTGCATCTTTTCTATAGGGCCTAGGCATTGCTGTAGGCATGAGAGTTTGTTAACCAAAAAAATCCTACTCTATCTTCACATCTGTCTAAGTAGATGTAAAACTGCTTACAGAGATGACACAGTCAGCCACAGGTTTCTTCATTGCTGTCTCAGCAGTCTCCTTCAGTTTGGTAAGCAGCATGGCAGTGACTTGTTCAATGCTGAAGACTTTCTCCTCCTCCATGTACATCACCTAGTAACAAGTAGAGTAATTAAAAAATGTATTTTAAGATTGAATATCTCAACCAGCTCCCCGTTCAGCCTCATCTTCACTTCTGATCATTTACCTTGATGCCGGTCATCCCAGAAGGCATCTGGGCCAGGTCGTAAACCAGGCTAGATTTTGCGGACTGGATGTAGGGGTCTACGAATGTCCTGCCATGGAATCGCTTGAACCCTTGAACAGTGTTCTTACAATTTGTTACAACCTTTCAAAAAGAAAAAAGAACAAATGCCGTGGTCAAATAACATGCTACTTTATTTTCACTAATGACTTGTATTAGCTATACGTCTTAAAGAAAGGCTTACCTGGCCTTTGGCTGCCGCTCCTATTGAACGATTCCGTGGTCCAAAGGACACACATGCTCTGAAAAAGGTGAACAAGATATGATTGGTTACAGATCCTTCCCTGTGTGCATGGTGCTTTAGATTCTATGGTATTTCATATCTTAGTGTGAATTAGCCTATGTAAAATTCAGAGACTGAGATTAGATAAGTAAAGTAATCTATAACTTTGCAAGTCATCACATGAAATTGTTTAGCCTACATTAGGCTTGGGCGGTTTACCGTATATCGGGGTATTTAGAAATACAAACAGTATTATTTTCAATACCTTCAACAACAAAATAATGTGTGTGCTACGCCACTGCTTATAACTATAAGTTATGACAAGATTACTATCTAATATGTGCCAAATAGATTATCTTCAGCTCAAGGCTCCAACTATGCATTTGGTTTTCTAGCATGCTAGCTAAGTGGCTAGCTTGCAAGCTCAACCTTCTTGGTTACAGCAGAGACAATCAATCCCCTCCTGGATCAAGATCCCTGCTGCTTAAATTAGTTTTGCACGTACAAAACAATAAGCCTCAAGTCTTCTTGGGTATGACGCTACAAGCTTGGCACACCTGTATTTGGGGAGTTTCTCCCATTCTTCTCTGCAGATCCTCTCAAGCTCTGACAGGTTGGATGGGGAGCGTCGCTGCACAGCTATTTTCAGGCCTCTCCAGAGATGTTCGATCGGCTTCAAGTCCGGGCTCTGGCTGGGCCACTCAAGGACATTCAGAGACTTGTCCCGAAGCCACTCCTGCGTTGTCTTGGCTGTGTGCTTAGGTTTGTTGTCCTGTTGGAAGGTGAACCGTCGCCCCAGTCTGAGGTCCTGAGCACTCTGGAGCAGGTTTTCATCAAGGATCTCTCTGTACGTTGCTCCGTTCATCTTTCCCTCGATCCTGACTAGTCTCCCAGTCCCTGCCGTTGAAAAACATCCCCACAGCATGATTCTGCCACCACCATGCTTCACCAAATACAGGTGCGCCAAGCTTGTAGCGTCATACCCAAGAAGACTCGAGGCTGTATTCGCTTCCAAAGATGCTTCAACAAAGTACTGTGTAAAGGGTCTGAATACTTATGTAAATGTGATATTTCCGTTTTAAACCTGTTTTTGCTTTGTCATTGTGGGGTATTGTGTGTAGATTGATGAGGGAAAACAACGATTTAATCAATTTTAGAATAAGGCTGCTACGTTTTTTTTTTAAATGTCAAGGGGTCTGAATACAGTGACTTGCGAAAGTATTCACCCCCCTTGGCATTTTTCCTATTTTGTTGCCTTACAACCTGGATTTTAAATGGATTTTTGGAGGGTTTGCACTTTGAAGATGCAAAATAGTTATTGTGAAACAAACAAGAAATAAGACAAAAAAAACAGAAAACTTGTCAATACTTTGTAGAGACACCTTTTGCAGCAATTACAGCTGCAAGTCTCTTGGGGTATGTCTCTATAAGCTTGGCACATCTAGCCACTGGGATTTTTGCCCATTCTTCAAGGCAAAACTGCTCCAGCTCCTTCAAGTTGGATGGGTTCCGCTGGTGTACAGCAATATTTAAGTCATACCACAGATTCTCAATTGGATTGAGGTCTGGCCTTTGACTAGGCCATTCCAAGACATTTAAATGTTTCCCCTTAAACCACTCGAGTGTTGCTTTAGCAATATGCTTAGGGTCATTGTCCTGCTGGAATGTGAACCTCCGTCCCAGTCTCCCATCAAGAATCTCCCTGTATTTAGCACCATCCATCATTCCTTCAATTCTGACCAGTTTCCCAGTCCCTGCCGATGAAAAACATCCCCACAGCATGATGCTGCCACCACCATGCTTCACTGTGGGGATGGTGTTCTCGGGGTGATGAGAGGTGTTGGGTTTGCGCCAGACATAACGTTTTCCTTGATGGCCAAAAAGCGCAGAGTACCTTCTTCCATAAGTTTGGGGAGTCTCCCACATGCCTTCAGGCGAACACCAAACGTGTTTGCTTATTTTTTTCTTTAAGCAATGGCTTTTTTCTGCCCACTCTTCTGTAAAGCCCAGCTCTGTGGAGTGTACGGCTTAAAAGTAGTCCTATGGACAGATACTCCAATCTCCGCTGTGGAGCTTTGCAGCTCCTTCAGGGTTATCTTTGTTGCCTATGATTAATGCCCTCCTTGCCTGGTCTGTGAGCAGGTTTGTTGTGGCCATATTCTTTCAAAAAAAATAAAAAACAATCATTTCACTTCACCAATTTGGACTATTTTGTGTATGTCCATTACATTAATCCAAATAAAAATCTATTTAAATTACAGGTTGTAATGCAACAAAATAGGAAAAACGCCAAGGGGGATGAATACTTTTGCAAGGCACTGTACTTTCCGAATGCACTGTACGTGCTCACAAACAAAGTGAGGGAAACACTCTTTAAAATAACTCATATTACCCGTCCAACAAAAGTATTTGTAAATATATTAGAAATGTTGATGAGAAATGTAAATGTCAATCTGGGACAGAATCACGTGAGCATTTGTTTTTCCAATGTGTGTATGTGACTATGTTCTGTGTTGATCTTTGGGTAGGGACATCCATCTGCAAGCTTGTGATGTTCTTTTTGTTTTTGATAGTCCAAGATTCTCCACTAACAAAAACTATGTGATGAATTCATTTATAATTCTTGCAAAATATTACATCCATAAAATGAATTTAAAGAAAAAACATCCTATTAAATATTTTTTAAGGTAGATTTTTATAATTACTTTGCCATATTGAATACTATGCTCTGTAAGAATAAGGTAACTAAATCAATTGATACTCTTAAGCTTTTCAAATGTCTTTGAATGTAAAAACCCTGTATGTGTTTCTGTTTTAATCTGTTTGTGATGTTTTGTTACAAAAATCTATACATCCTTTTGAAAATTGTAAGACATTTAAATTTGTACAATTTAAAAAAAAATATATATGTATATACATTCATCCATACACACATCTAAATGCCTACTGCTTGCGCACTCTTTTTTCAACTATAAAAAATTAGGTAATTCACTGGACAAGGATTCTCCTGACTTTCAAGAATGCCTGAATTGCGTCGACTTGTTTTTCTGGTTGGCTGGATGCAAGTTCCACCATCCAATTATTTCATATCTACAGGAATGCAAGTTTCACCGTTGTTATGTTGGTACATTATAATTAATTATTTCATTCTATCCATGCTGCCTGAGGAAGACTCTAGAAGTCGACAAGGTGCGACGCCATTACGTTCGGCTGTTTTTATCGACACAAGACAGTTCAACGGAAACGTACCTTACCCCTGCTTTTATGTAGCGTTCACGAGCTAGTCGGAGCTAGGAAACTCAGAAATGTCCGATTCTCTAACTGATAGAAAGCGGCACGTGCATAACTACAAGCAGTTAGCGAGTCAAACATTTCAGAGTTTCCTAATTCCAATTGACGACAGACTTTCATGCGAATATTCTAAAATCCGCATAACAACTATATGCGCATGTTCCCACCAGAGATGCGTTTCATTCAAATTGACTTGTTGAAGATAAAGGCTGTGCGTGATGACGTGATGCACATACAAATACCTTTTGCGGTTAAATTCCCATGTACCAAATAAAAAAAGACATGTTACATTTTCAACTCTACTGATGGTTTTCTCACAAAAAAAATGTTGCATTATATAGCCAGTGTGCCCACTTGGTATTGGCACCTGCACTCTAGCTACCAACGCTATCTGCGCGCTGTTGGCTAGAGCGCATGTATAGCCTACATTATGAGATTATTATTATGGACAAAAGAGCGAGATTATTTTTATTTGTCAAACAGCTGCCAAGCATCGATTATCATGTCACCAGAATAAGACCCTCGATATTTATTGGAAAGGCGCATTAAGACGTTTACATTTTAGTCATTTAACAGACACTCGTATCCAGAGCGACTTACAGTAGTGAGTGCATACGTTTTCATACTTTTTTTCTGTACTGGTCCCCCGTGGGAATCGAACCTTGCACTGTCACCACCCTGTGAAATTCATCATAACTTGTTTTATCTGTAGCCTAATAAACTGCATGGTTTCCCCGAGTCGTAGTGATAGGACCACACATTTCATCGCGTGACTCCAAGTGTACTTCGATATGATGGCTATATCAATAATTGCGCATAAAAGCGTTTCCACCGACATTTATCGCATGATTAATTTTATCGACACAAAAAGATCCCACCTTGTCTAGTGTATTTTGTTTTGTCGACATTTATACGTTTTCCGAAAATTGTTCCGTTTCAATCAGGCCGGTCATTAGGAATATGTTTTATCAAACATGTACTTTACTTGAGTAGGAAGGTTTGATGGAAACCTAGTTTATGACCGTACCAGGCAGTTGTAGCATCTATTTTCTGTCAACTTAATTAAACTTCGAGAAAAAAAATGAGAAATAAAAAAAATCACTGGACAAATTAATGGAAGTATTGACTTAAATCTGACAGTAGCTGTAATTTAAGTGGCCAGTGGTGCCATAAACTAATGATATGGAAAGGATACGGTATGAAAATGTATGCACTCACTAACTGTAAGTAGCTCTGGATAAGAGCGTCTGCTAAATGACTAAAATGTAAAATGAATATATTTTTTATTACATTTTAGATCATAGCATCTCATTGGGATGGTGTACTTTACGACAGTTTTTACGCACTGCAAAATTGCTAGAATATTCCTACCGGCGATTGACGGATGTCGTCATAGCAAGTAAACCAGTACAGTAAACGGTGAGCTAGCTAACTGGCTAACTATGATAGCAGGCGAACTCCGTATTATAAGTAACTGCTAGTTTAATAGCAACCATTAGCTAGTTCAATACACATGTGAAATAAGTCCATCTGATAATAACGATCATTATAATTGGCGACAAAGCGGGATGGAAAAATTAGATGGACTGTACGTTAGTGAGCTAGCTAACGTTATGCAGCTGAATTCACGTGCAGTACCCTGTACACACAACTGTTAACTAACTAGCTAGCTACTAGCTAATTGTCCAGGCCGCAAAAACAGAAACTGGCCACTCTCACAAAACAAATGTATTTGTCTCAAGTGTATGGCTAGTCTAGACTAGACAAACGAGAGTTTAAAAATATTTTACTTACGGTGTACATCGGTCGCTATATTCGTTAGCCACGGTCTCAATTCCTCCGGCTCGAGCTACAGCAACATAGCAGCTTTGAAAGCCCACATCAATTCCCACCACTGACATCTTCCACGCTAACGTTACCTTGCCTGTATTCTACTACTGTATGAAATGTTGACGTAGATAACTCCTTTAAAGAACAGAAACGTGTTTGAATTATTTTGAAAGACGTATAAAAGTCAGCGGATAATGTTAAATCAGAAGTGTACTTCAATTCACAATCCGCGGCACTGTACAGAATACTCTGATAGAAGTGCACACCGGGTAGTAGATGGCTAGATCTGCTACAAGTACAAGGTGGTTTTGCAAGTTCACGTGGAATCTCTATGCAATATCGCGATAATTGAATAGTTCTAGATGTCTCTACAACTTTCTAGCAGAAAGAGTTCATTCTAAACCATGTCGAAAATGGCTTTTTTTTTCCCTTTTTTTTTCTCCAACTAACAATATGCACTACTCACATATGGCAGTATCTCAACTGCTGCTAACTCAAAGTTGGCATGTAAAAGGCATATATATATATATATATATAATATGCCATTTAGCAGACGCTTTTATCCAAAGCGATTTACAGTCATGTGTGCATCCATTTTTACGTATGGGAGGTCCCGGAGATCGAACCCACTACCCTGGCGTTACAAGCGCCATGCTCTACCAATTGAACTACAGAGGACCATATATATATATATATATATATATATAAAATATATACTGTGTGGAAAAAAAGTATTTAGTCAGCCACCAATTGTGCAAGTTCTCCCACTTAAAAAGATGAGAGAGGCCTGTAATTTTCATCATAGGTACACGTCAACTATGACAGACAAAATGAGAAAAGAAAATCCAGAAAATCACATTGTAGGATTTTTAATGAATTTATTTGCAAATTATGGTGGAAAATAAGTATTTGGTCAATAACAAAAGTTTCTCAATACTTTGTTATATACCCTTTGTTGGCAATGACACAGGTCAAACGTTTTCTGTAAGTCTTCACAAGGTTTTCACACACTGTTGCTGGTATTTTGGCCCATTCCTCCATGCAGATCTCCTCTAGAGCAGTGATGTTTTGGGGCTGTCGCTGGGCAACACAGACTTTCAACTCCCTCCAAAGATTTTCTATGGGGTTGAGATCTGGAGACTGGCTAGGCCACTCCAGGACCTTGAAATGCTTCTTATGAAGCCACTCCTTCGTTGCCCGGGCGGTGTGTTTGGGATCATTGTCATGCTGAAAGACCCAGCCACGTTTCATCTTCAATGCCCTTGCTGATGGAAGGAGGTTTTCACTCAAAATCTCACGATACATGGCCCCATTCATTCTTTCCTTTACACAGATCAGTCGTCCTGGTCCCTTTGCAGAAAAACAGCCCCAAAGCATGATGTTTCCACCCCCATGCTTCACAGTAGGTATGGTGTTCTTTGGATGCAACTCAGCATTCTTTGTCCTCCAAACACGACGAGTTGAGTTTTTACCAAAAAGTTCTATTTTGGTTTCATCTGACCATATGACATTCTCCCAATCCTCTTCTGGATCATCCAAATGCACTCTAGCAAACTTCAGACGGGCCTGGACATGTACTGGCTTAAGCAGGGGGACACATCTGGCACTGCAGGATTTGAGTCCCTGGCGGCGTAGTGTGTTACTGATGGTAGGCTTTGTTACTTTGGTCCCAGCTCTCTACAGGTCATTCACTAGGTCCCCCCGTGTGGTTCTGGGATTTTTGCTCACCGTTCTTTTGATCATTTTGACCCCACGGGGTGAGATCTTGCGTGGAGCCCCAGATCAAGGGAGATTATCAGTGGTCTTGTATGTCTTCCATTTCCTAATAATTGCTCCCACAGTTGATTTCTTCAAACCAAGCTGCTTACCTATTGCAGATTCAGTCTTCCCAGCCTGGTGCAGGTCTACAATTTTGTTTCTGGTGTTCTTTGACAGCTCTTTGGTCTTGGCCATAGTGGAGTTTGGAGTGTGACTGTTTGAGGTTGTGGACAGGTGTCTTTTATACTGATAACAAGTTCAAACAGGTGCCATTAATACAGGTAACGAGTGGAGGACAGAGGAGCCTCTTAAAGAAGAAGTTACAGGTCTGTGAGAGCCAGAAATCTTGCTCGTTTGTAGGTGACCAAATACTTATTTTCCACCATAATTTGCAAAGAAATTCATAAAAAATCCTACAATGTGATTTTCTGGAGAAAAAAATTCTCAATTTGTCTGTCATAGTTGACGTGTACCTATGATGAAAATTACAGGCCTCTCTCATCTTTTTAAGTGGGAGAACTTGCACAATTGGTGGCTGACTAAATACTTTTTTCCCCCACTGTATATATAATCTTACCTAGTGCGATATGTAACTTTTTGGGTGACCCTGACAAATTCACATAGAAATGTGAGTTATAGATATGCCATTCTCATTGAAAGCAAGTCTAAGAAGCGGTAGATATGTTCTATGTGTATAATTTCCATGCTTCCCGTGCTTAAATTTAGTTTTTGCATCTTTTACTTTCAGTTTGGTACACCAGCTTCAAACAGCTGAGAATACAATATTTTTGGTTATTGAAAATATATTTTACAGCTGTTTAAATGGTACAATGATTCTCTACATTGCTTGCTTAGTCACATAAACTGAAATTAGGCAAACTATTAGAATTTTAGCAACCAGGGAATGGCGGAGCGATTTCGGCAAATTGCACCTGAGATGACTGAGAGGAATGAGAGAGCAATGATTGCCAAGCACAGCACAGGAGAGTATAATGCTGATACCTTGAACAGTTAAAGTAACTGTCCAGTGTTTCCAGATTTCTATGAAATATGACTTATACAGTGCCTTGCAAAAGTATTCATCCCCCTTCGCGTTTTTCCTATTTTGTTGCATTACAACCTGTAATTTAAATGGATTTTTATTTGGATTTCATGTAATGGACATACACAAAATAGTCCAAATAAAAACATTATAAAAATAACTTGTTAAAAAAAATTATAAAAAATAAATAACGGAAAAGTGTTGCGTGCATATGTATTCACCCACTTTGCTACGAAGCCCCTAAATAAGATCTGGTGCAAACAATTACCTTCAGACATCACATAATTAGTTAAATAAAGTCCACCTGTGTGCAATCTAAGTGTCACATGATCTGTCACATGATCTCAGTATATATACACCTGTTCTGAAAGGCCCCAGAGTCTGCAACACCACTAAGCAAGGGGCACCACCAAGCAAGCGGCACCATGAAGACCAAGGAGCTCTCCAAACAGGTCAGGGACAAAGTTGTGGAGAATACAGATACAGAAAAAATATCCGAAACTTTGAACATCCCACAGAGCACCATTAAATCCATTATTAAAGAATTCAAAGAATATGGCACCCCAACAAACCTGCCAAGAGAGGTCCGCCCACCAAAACTCACGGACCAGGCAAGGAGGGCATTAATCAGAGAGGCAACAAAGAGACCAAAGAGAACCCTGAAGGAGTTGCAAAGCTCCACAGCGGAGATTGGAGTATCTGTCTATAGGACCACTTTAAGCCGTACACTCCACAGAGCTGGGCTTTACGGAAGAGTGGCCAGAAAAAAGCCAGTGCTTATAGAAAAAAATAAGCAAACACGTTTGGTGTTCGCTGAAAGGCATGTGGGAGACTCCCCAAACATATGGAAGAAGGTACTCTGGTCAGATAAGACTAAAATTGAGCTTTTTGGCCATCAAGGAAAATGTCTGGCACAAACCCAACACCTCTCATCACCCCGAGAACACCATCCCCACAGTGAAGCATGGTGGTGGCAGCATCATGCTGTGGGGATGTTTTTCATCAGCAGGGACTGGGAAACTGGTCAGAATTAAAGGAATGATGGATGGCGCTAAATACAGGGAAATTCTTGAGGGAAACCTGTTTCAGTTTTCCAGAGATTTGAGACTTGGACAGAGGTTCACCTTCCAGCAGGACAATGACCCTAAGCATACTGCTAAAGCAACACTCGAGTGGTTTAAGGGGAAACATGTAATTATTTTGGAATGGCCTAGTCAAAGGCCAGACCTCAATCCAATTGAGAATCTGTGGTATGACTTAAAGATTGCTGTACACCAGCGGAACCCATCCAACTTGAAGGAGCTGGAGCAGTTTTGCCTTGAAGAATGGGTAAAAATCACAGTGGCTAGATGTGCCAAGCTTATAGAGACATACCCCAAGAGACTTGCAGCTGTAATTGCTGCAAAAGGTGTCTCTACAAAGTATTGACTTTGGGGGGGGGGGGGGGTGAATAGTTATGCACACTCAAGTTTTCTGTTGTTTTGTCTAATTTCTTTTTGTTTCACAATAAAAACTATTTTGCATCTTCAAAGTGGTAGGCATGTTGTGTGAATCAAATGATACAAACCCCCCAAAATTCCATTTTAATTCCAGGTTGTAAGGCAACAAAATAGGAAAAATGCCAAGAGAGGTGAAGCCACTGTAATTACTCACAATATAAGTTAAATTGTTTTCCTTCCAAAAAATGATAATTAAAGGACAACTCCGCCACTTTTAACATTAGGGTTGTTATTATGAAGTATTTAGTGATGTCCTAGACAGTTTTAGTGTAATTTTATGATTTCATGTTTATTGACTGTTTAGTAATGAGCAAAACCGGAAATTGCTTCTCTGTGACGTTTTCAAGTAGAATCCTTGAGATGACTAATACAAGAAGAAAAAAAGAAAGAAAAAAAACTATTCCAAGAAATTATGGACTGTTAGTGCTATCCGGGATCCTTGGGATGTCCCTACCCTAAACCCTAACCCCCCACACAAGGCTGCTGAGGGGAGGGCGGCTCATAATAATAGCCAGGAACAGAGTGAATGGAATGGCATTTGATACCATTCCAGCCTTTACCACAAGTCTCTTACCCCTTACTTACCATAACCCTAACCATAACCCTAACCTTAACCCTTACCTTAAACATTTTAAATGTCAACTTCAATGGGGTAACGTCAGAGTTTGGACATCCCAAGGATTCCCGATAGCAAGGATAAATTATGGACAGGCATTTTCAGCTATCTACAGTATATAACCTGTCTTTAGTTTTCTGCTCATATTGGAATTCCCTGCTATATGT